AGGTCTTATTATTTTTTTGAGGTACAGGAGGCGGCAAGCGTGGTCACCTCATGGCGGCTGCTGTGTTGCAATATTTTTGGGGAAGGCTTATTTTAGCGCATGCTCTCAAAAGCCCGATTGGGCTTATTATCCGGGGAGGTCTTATTTTTTGGGGGGGAAATAAGGTTAATAAGCTCGTCCATGCAGAAGCATCCATGTCACACCCAGCCACGCTTTTGCGAAAAGGCTGCTATCGACAGACAATTCTCCTCATCTGCATTTCACTTCCTTCTTTCTCCCCCCCTCCCTACAAACAATATGCACGGAGGATAATTCCGCGTACATCTCATTAAGTCCAGGAAGGCGTAGGCCGTAATAAATGTAATTAGTCTTTATAGTGCCACGAGACTGTGGTTTTTGCTGCCACAGACAAACTGCAGTGGCCCCTTTTCTAAGCCGTTCTCCTTCCTATTATTACTGGAAGATGCATCTTCACTTCAACAAGTTTCCGTATCAGTTTACTCCAGATCTCGGGGACTGTAAACATATTATGGGGTTTTTTTTTCTCTCCTTGTGGCAATTTTGTAGCTTTCAGTGAAAACATCTGGAGTCTCGTCATTGCATGCAGCATGCTAATTTGGGCTGCCTCCAAAATATTGTTTATTTATGTATTTATTGATTTCCAGATGCGTGGAGACACGTAGGTCCAATGTTATGCCTTTATTTCTACCAACAATGTAAGCTTTCCTAGTTAATTAGGCATGGTCCCAAAAATCAGAATTTGAAACTCTCTACATCTGGGTTTTCATATCTTTTATACTACCAAATTTCTCTTGGCAGAGCCAGCTTTTGAGAAAACTGCCGTTCAAAGGTATATGGTCCTCTCAATAGACGGTCTGTAGGATTAATTTATCTGCATTGAAGATATACTGTATTTCATGAGTAAAGGTTTAGGAAAACTTGTCCCTCATTGCCTTCTGCCCAGGTTAGCTCATTCAGGTCTCAAAATGATAAAAAGTTTCATTGATTTATCATTTGTTTTTCATGGGTTGGAACTCAACTTTTCAAATTCCCCAAGCAGGTATGTAAACTCTCAACCTCAATGCTTTCCAGACACCCTACTTATTTTTGTTTAATTAGAAAAAGTCTTATATATACATTTTTCTCTGTATTGTTCTCTACAATGAGTTTTGTCTGGTGGCACATACTTTTAAGTAAACACTGCATTTTTAATGTTTTAATTTCCTTCCTTCCTTCCNTGGCTTGGTGGGTGTGGCAAGGGAAGGATACTGCAAACTCTCTATTCCCACCCTACTCCAGGGGACTCATACTGCAAACTCTCCATTCCCACCCCACTCGGGGGCCAGCCAGAGGTGGCAGTTGCTAGTTCTCTGAACTACTCAAAATTTCCACTACTGGTTCTCCAGAACCTGCTGGATTTCATCCTTGGTATGAAGATACCAGCAAGAGAGCAAGTGAAAAACACCTACGTGTGCAGAGATTATGGACAAGGGGAAGATATATTTGCATTAGTTTAGAATGCACTGGACTTCTAGATTGTGGAATTCTCTAGGGAAATCAGCGCTTGAACTCAAAACTTATTTTTGAGGTCACAAATGTAACATATTTCACAAATGGCTGCCTATATTCTGTGAAAATCTGTCAGGCTTGCATGTCAAAGAGAGCGAGAGCCAAATAAGGGTAGAACCAGAATGCCCCCCACATTTCTAGGGTCTCTTTAATCCTTCTCAAGGTCAGGCTTTATGCTCTGCCATGTGGGCAGTTGTGACACAAGGGCAAACAATGAAGAGGATGAAGCTGGCAATATCCCCAGAACTTTATATTTTTGAACATAAGCGGTGGCAATTGAATAGCAGATGGCTACCTAGGAGAACATATCTGTCACGGAAGCAATATATTTCAATTAAACACTTACATCAGTCTAAAAGACTGCACTGTAATTTTTTCCTCCTTTTAGGTAGTTCTGGGCCCAGTTTTCTTGAACAAATGGAAGTGTGAACTCCTTCTATAACCCATTTTCATTGGTTCCTTCATTCATTCTGATAAATCAGCATTTCATGAGTGACAAACAACGTCTTCTGAGTTGAGCAGATGACAATTTGCAAGTAAACATGTTCAGGGTTGTTTGTGGCTCTTTTGATATAGAGGAAGCTGCTTTGAAAGTGGTGTGCCATGTATAGTTATTCAAGCTATTAAGTTATTGCTGGATACCAGGAGAGGGACCAACAAATCAAACTTATGCTAGCCGTTTGGCTGCCCTAATGAATTTTGATTTTCAGATGGGAGTTAAGCTGGGGCTTACACTTTTAAAACAAAGATAATTGTGTTAGATCGGGTGAACGGAGGAGGCAGACTCAGGCTTGAGTGACAAACAACTGCTCTTTATTGGGAATACACTATGTAAATCCAGCACCGCTCAGTTTGACAGTTAACCCTTTTATAGGGAGCTGCCAAATGGCTCGGCCAATCGGCTTCAGGTATTTTCCCATCGGATAGGAGGACCTTGTTGGAACCTTCCATACTGGCTGTAACAAATTGTTTGAATAATCCAAAAATATTCCTTGTTGGCCACTTATGGGAAAGAAATAGTCATAATTTTAACTAGAAAAGTGTATCTCTTCATAAAAAACTCTCGGCTATAGACCAGGGGTGTCAAACTTGATTTCATTGAGGGACGCATCAGGGTTGTATTTGACCTTGAATGGGTGGAGTGGGGGTGGTGAGGGTGGGCGTGGCCAGCTCACCAGCACTTGTGTCGGGTGTGTGTGTGCCTGAGGTGGCCTGTGCACTCTGCCAGTGAAACAGTCTCCCAAGCTCCATTTTCACTGGCAGAGGCACTCTGGGCCAGTCCTTCTCTGTTTTTAGGGCAGCCCCACAGGCCAGATCTNCTGCCAACTGCCAGCAGTTTGATCCTGACTGGCTCAAGGTTGACTCAGCTTTCCATCCTTCCGAGGCCAGTACAATGAGGATCCAGATTGTGGGAGGCAAAAGGCTGACTCTGTAAACTGCTTAGAGAGGGCTATAAAGCACTATGAGGCCAGAGTTGGTATTCAGCAGTTTCTGACCAGTTCTGGAGAACCTGTAGTGGAAATTTTGAGTAGTTCAGAGAACCGGTAAATACCACCTCTGACTGGCCCCAGCCCTTCTATTCTCTGCCTCCCGAGTCCCAGCTGACCGGGAGGGAATGGAGATTTTACAGTATCCATCCTGCCCTGCCCCCAAGCCATGCTCACAGAACTGGAAGTAAAAAAAATTGAATCCCACCACTGTGTGAGGCGGTATATAAGTCTAAGTGCTATTGCTATATCTTGGCAAGAACAGGTGGGAACTCATCAAATAAGATACAACTAATTTAAAAACACGCTCTTTGCCAGGGCTGGTGAGCCTTGATTAAAACAACAGATTCCCCAAGGAAATGAGAGAAAGGCTAATCTGCTGAAGTGGGTTTAACAGTAAATAAAATCACCAAATACTGTGTTTTGTTTATAATTGTCACTCTGGATTGAAAGCCCCTTTCAAGGAGACTGTTATCCTTAAAAGTAAGATATAAACAGCTATGACAAATAATAAATTATGATACCGTGTTTCCCCGAAAATAAGACAGGGTCTTATTTTCTTTTGACCCCCCGAAATAAGCACTTGGCCTTATTTTCGGGGAAGTCTTATTATTTTTAAGGTGCAGGAGGCGGTGAGCGTGATCACCTCATGGCTGCTGCTGTGTTGCAATATTTTGGGGGGAGGGCTTATTTTCAGGGGAGGGCTTAATTTCAGCGCATGCACTCAAAAGCTTGGTTGGGCTTGATTACCCAGGGAGGTCTTATTTACAGGGAAATAGGGTAAATCACTTCAGCGGCAAGTTGCTTGGGTGAAAGAATAAAGAGCAACCTTCTCCAACCTGGCAGCCTCCAAATGTTGGATGTCAACTCATCCCTGGAGGCTTTCAAGAAGAGACTGGACTGCCACCTGTCAGAAATGGTGTAGGTAGGGTCTCCTGCTTGGGCGGGAATGGGGCAGGATTGGACTAGATGACCTACAAGATCCCTTCCAACTCTTGTTAATCTGTTAACTAGCACGATCTTTCTGGCAAGGTTGATGGGGACTGACATACCTGCTGGCTGCCAGACTGAAGACGCTGGTAGAGAGACTGGTTTCTGAGGGAAAATTGGGAATTACCTATCTCCATCTCGGAGTCTTCTGAACTGGGTCACCAGTAGGCACATGAGAGTTGGCCCTACTCTGGTTCCTGGGATAAGATCTTCTACCATCAAGGCGGGAAAGAGGTCCACATTCTTTGTAATTCCATATAAGCTGCAGGAGCGAAGGAGGAAAAGATTAAGAGACGTGGAGCAGATTCAGTGGAGGGACTGCAAGGATTTTCATGGGGGTGAAATTTTTATCTTTCAAGAAGAGACAAAGGGCTCAGCTTTTTGAAGTGGTAACGGATAAACCTAGAACTACACTGGACAGATATCGTGGCTATGATATTAGACTGGGAGAGTGACATTGGAGAAGCATTGGCCCAACAAGTTGAATGGAGAAGGAGGGAGATGGAGAAAGAGAGGGAGAAGAAAGGAGATGGAGACAGAGGGAGAAGGAAGGGAGAGGGAGCTAGAGAGGAGAGGGAGAAGGAAGGGAGAGGGAGCTAGAGAGGAGAGGGAGAAGAGAGGAGATGGAGACATAGTGATAAAGGAGAAAGGAGGGAGATGGAGATAGAGAGGAGATAGAGACACAGTGAGAAAGAGAAGGAGAAAGAAGGGAGATGAGATAGGAGAGGGAGAAGAAAGGAGGTGGAGACACAGAGTAAGGAGAAAGAAGGGAGATAGTGAGAGAGGAGAGGGAGGAGGAAAGAGATGGAGACAGAGTGAGAAAGAAGGGAGAGAAGCAGAGGAGAGGAAGAAGGCGATGGAGACATAGAGTGAGAAAGGAGAAAGAAGGGAGAGGAAATAGAAAAGAGGAAGAAGAAAGGAGATGGAGACACAGAAGGAGGAGAAAGAAGGGAGATGGAGACTTCTCTAGCATCCATTGTCCATGCTCCCATACCTCCTGAGTTTCTCCCTGATCTCCAGATTTTTAATTTCATTCCTGAGGTCATCAAACTCCTGAGCAGAGGTGAGGTTGCAGAAGACCCGGAAGTCATTATAAGGAGGGATGCCGTGATCGCGCCCTCTCTGGATATTGATGGCTGCCAGGTCCAGGGAGACCGAGTGCACCATTGAAAACAGCTTCTCGGTCAGCTCCATATTGAGGAGTTCAGAAGGCACCCGCATTTTCCCAGGCACGCCAAAAAGTCCACGCAGAAGGGGATCAATGCCACCCTCCTGGATGATCCTGAATGGGGAGAAGAACGCCTTGTGAAGTGGGACATGGCCTTGCCGGATGGGCTTGAAAGTTTCATTCAACCGGTAGAGTTGCGGATGGATGAGGGTGTGGCCGAAGCGAAAAGCTGCGGTGGCAAAAACATTCAGGATGCCAGCATTGGTGGTGGGGTCGTAACCTTTGTAGTCTCCCATGACCTTCAACCCAGCTTCTCCAAGGATCTTGGGAAGCCAGTGGGAATAGGTGATGTGCTGCATCAGGGCCCCCACAATCTTGCGAGCCTCATGATAGATGGTATCCCCATCCCAGTGAGGGTTCAAAGACTGGAGCTCGGCAGCCAATCGGTTATGCTCGCGGAACCACAAGGTGTGCATAGAAGTCAATCCCAGTTGCTCGTTGGCCCGATGATCCCCGGCCAAGAAACACGGCACCGGGCTCTCGCTTTCATCCCGCATGCACTCAGTCGGCGGCCCGGTGGCGAAAGGCAGGAGGGGTTTTCCTGAACTCGGAACCACCTGGCCTGACTTCAGAAGCCCATTCTGGTTACTGAGATTCCGCAGTTCAAGGGACTCCTGTTCGGTGCTGCCGTAGACGTTGGAAGCATCGATGAAGGAGGTGAGGTGGTTGATCTGCTCCCGGGGGTAGACGGAATTCAACAGCAGGGAGGTCATCCCGCTGCCACACACGGGGCTGGAACGCACAAAGAACATGCACCGTCCTCGGCGTACCCGGGGGTCATTCTTGGGGATCATAATGGAGAAGCAAGGGGGATCACTGGTGCACACCTGACTGCATGACGCCCCATCTGAGAAACGCGCCATGCTGATCGCAGCCACCGTCTGGTCTAAGTCGTGGTCCAGAAACTGCCCCCACTGCATAAGCATGTGAGTGAAGCGATCATCCGGGGTGATGGTCTCCGTGCCAATCAGGGCGGTCGAGACCAAGCGAGGCAGAGGAAGGGGGAGATCCCTGGAATCTTCTGCCAAGGAGAAGCCCCGGGGGAGGTTGAAGCCGTTTTGGTAAGCGGGCTTCAGCAGCCGTTGGAAGGCCGTGAGGGATGCGCCCCACATAGGGTGCTGGAGGTTATTGCAAGACCCGTCGTGGGTCCTGTACTTCTTATGGAAGCAGATGTCGGAGCAGTTGGGGGTGCGGCGGTGGGCGGAACATCCCGATAAGTTGGCAATCATGTTCAGGTAGTGCGGGGAAACTAGGTCATTGTAGCGATAGCCTGCAAGACAAGGTTAAAATGTTGGATTGGAGTTAGAATCAAAGTGGATGAACTACATTTGTTTGTTTCCTGCCCTTATTATTTTTACAAATAACTCAAGGTGGTGAACATAGATAACACACCTTCTTCTTCCTATTGTTCCCACAACAACAACACCGTGAGAGGGAGGGACTAGCCCAAGGGCAGTCAGCGGGCTTTCAAGGCAGGACTAGAACTCACCATCTTTGTGATTGGCCCAAAGTCACCCAGCTGGCTTTTATGGCTAAAGCGGGATTAGAACTCACCATTTCTTTGTAACTGGCCCAAAGTCACCCAGCTGTCTTTCATGGCTAAGGCAGGACTAGAACTCACCATCTCTTTGTGATTGGCCCAAATTCACCCAACTGGGTTTCATGGCTAAAGCGACACTTGAACTCACGGCCTCCCACTTTCTAGCCTCTTACATTTTGCAATTTGCTTAAACTTTACTGCCAAGTCCAGCATTGTTCCTTATCTGGTGAGGTGGGGGTGGGGGGGTGGGAGGACGGGCCGATACTAATGAAGAGAATTTCTCAGACTCATTAAGAGTTTAGTTCATGAAAGCAGCATCTCTTTCAGTGATTCGAGGTGTTTCTTCCCAGCTTCCGGGCTGTGCGAGTTTATGAGATGCTACCAACAGATCCATCTTTTTCCTGATTGTTTATGTCTATTCCAGAGGCTTAATTTATCCATTTATGACCACAATTGGGGGTGGGGTCAGGGCCAAAAGTTCACCATCCCAGCTCTAGGAGTTTGGAACACAGCCATTCAGTATGAAATGGTGTAATTTATCTTTTTTTTAAAAAAAAAAGGCTTTCCAGATTTCATAATGGGATAATTTAACAGCCTAAGACTCCAACGAAGGTTGCCTAGAACAGGGGTTGGCAAACTGCGGCTCTGGAGCCGCATGTGGCTCTTTCCTCCCCCAATTGCGGCTCCGTCACCGGTCGGCGCCACAAT